CGCACCCAGTCTGTTTTTTTTTTTTTTTTTTTTTTTTTAGATGTAGTCTCACTCTGTCACCCAGGCTAAAGTGCAGTGGCACAATCTCAGCTCACCACAACCTCAGCCTCCCAGGTTCAAGTGATTCTCCTGCCTCAGCTTCCCTAGTAGCTGGGATTACAGGCACCCACCACTATGCCCGGCTAATTTTTGTATTTTTCAGTAGAGATGGGGTTTCACTATGTTGGCCAGGCTAATCTCAAACTCCTGACCTTAGGTGATCCACCCACCTCAGCCTCCCAAAGTGATGGGATTACAGGTGTGAGCCATGATGCCGGGCCTTTTTTAAATTGTTTAATTAAAATGTTTTTCAAAATACAATGTTGGCCGGGTGCGGTGGCTCAAGCTTGTAATCCCAGCACTTTGGGAGGCCGAGGCGGGTGGATCATGAGGTCAAGAGATCGAGACCATCCTGGTCAACATGGTGAAACCCCGTCTCTACTAAAAATACAAAAAATTAGCTGGGCATGGTGGCGTGTGCCTGTAATCCCAGCTACTCAGGAGGCTAAGGCAGGAGAATTGCCTGAACCCAGGAGGCGGAGGTTGCGGTGAGCTGAGATCGCGCCATTGCACTCCAGCCTGGGTAACATGAGTGAAACTCCGTCTCAAAAAAAAAAAAAAAAAAAAAATACAATGTTATGCAACAGAAGTCATGAGCACTAACCAATCAGAACAGATACTGGGGCTGGATGTGGTGACTCAGGTCTGTAAATCTAGCACTTTGGGAGGCCAAAGTGGGTGGATCATTTGAGGCCAGGAGTTTGAGACCAGCCTGGCCAGCATGACAAAACCCCATCTCTACTAAAAATACAACAATTAGCCAGGTGTGGTGGTGAATGCCTGTAATCCCAGCTACTCAGGAGGCTGAAGGAGGAGAATTGCTTAAACCTGGGAGGTGGAGGTTGCGATGAGGCGAGATCGCTCCACTGCGCTCCAGGCTGAGAAACAGAGCGAGACTCTGTCTCAAAAAAAATAAAAATAAGAAAGAACAGCCAGGCGCAGTGGCTCACGCCTGTAATCCCAGCACTTTGGGAGGCCGAGG